AGGTTTCAGGGTTTTAGGGTTTGGTCTGTTAGGGTTTAGGGTTTTAGGTTTTGGGGTCTATAAGGTTTCAGGGTTTTAGTGTTTGGTCTATTAGGGTTTAGGGTTTTAGGGTTTGGGGTCTATAAGGTTTCAGAGGTTTAGGGTTTGGGGTCTATAAGGTTTCAGAGGTTTAGGGGTTTAGGGTTTATAAGGTTTCAGAGGTTTAGGGGTTTAAGGTTTATAAGGCTTCAGAGGTTCAGGGGTTTAGGGTTTGTAAGGCTTCAGAGGTTTAGGGGTTTAAGGTTCATAAGGCTTCAGAGGTTTAGGGGTTTAGTTTTTTTTTCAGAGGTTTAGGGTTACAGTCTTTTCCCTTATCTTGCCGGGAGCTGAAACCCATGTCCCCAAAGCCCAAAAGCGCTCTTCGAAGCCGCCAGGCCGCCCGAAAGCCGAGACCCGAACTCCACATCCCGAAGCCCCGCGGACTCGGAAGAATAGCCTTTCATAGTGAGCATGTGTGTGTGCGCGTGCGTATACATATATATATATATATATATAATATATATATATATATTTATGTATGTATGTGTGTATATATATATACATATGCTATTTAGTTACATTAATTTCTTCATCAATTCACATTTATAGAGCGAGAGGGACAGAGAGAGAGATGATGTATACACATAGAGAGACTTATACCACAATATCCAAATCGCTGGTCTAATTGATCGAAACCCAGTTCAGGCTGCGGGCTACGTCGGGTGCAGTGTCTCGCCGGCCATGGGGTGCTGTTGGTCCTGTACTCTGAGAGCTACTATGGGGTTTAGGCCTTAGGGCTCGTGGCAATGTGAGGCCCTTGCCAACCACACCCTATGACAGCTTGGTGGCGTGTTAGTGTGCTTGTTGTGGACTGCCCGGTCTCTGACCATGTGAGAGAATGTGCAAATCATCGCATTCACTGCGTCGCTTCATTGAGCGGTATGCCGCGTGCGAACTGCAACAGGCTAGTTCTTGCATGAGTCTCATCATGTATCATTGCAGCGTTTGATGCATGCGGCCGCCGTTGTACTCGTAGTGGCACTGATAGACTAGCGCATGTTTGCTGTTACTATACGCACCGTCCTGCTATCCAGATTTGTCGATCTTTCCAGCATGCATGTATGGTTAGATCGCTCCCGGGGAAACATTAGCTATATATGCGTTACCGAATGAATGATGGGTTCATAATCTAGTCTGTTCTGTGCTAACAATCTGGTCTATTCTGTTCTATATTCTTGTAGTATGGTATACTATAATGTACAGTTTTACAGTAATCAATCGCCGAATCTAGCATTCGGCTGCCGCCCTGCTGCCAAGCAGTTAACTTGTGTGTTGGAATGAGCGGTTTCGTTTTGCCGGCTTGGTCCCGGTCTTCTGTCGCCGGTATATCCAGAGAATTGTATTATCAGGTGCGCTGTTGCAGTGTTGCATGTCGGTTTTGACTGCTTAGTTATTCAAGAGCTTCGGTTGATGCTGCAGCATTGAGTATAGCTTTACCATGTCGGCTGAAACGGATGCAGTATAGAGCCTGCGCATGCCTGGTTGACAGAGCATGTGGGTAGTTCTCTAAGTTCGGGGTCTAGATCCAGGGTTAGGGTCCCTTCCTGGGTCCCGAATAAAAAATACGGCACCCTATATCAACAGTACCCTACAAGGGATCCTGATTTTGTTGGAGGCCTTCAGTCGGCCTGTGGGTTTGCGGGTCTCGCCTGGAGATGGATCGAAGAAGGAACTTGCAGAATATAGAAGAATAATTGCCAAGATTATTGTTAGGGTTCCTTATTATACATACCAAGTTTTCAGGAGCCCAACACCCTATTCTAATCATTAAGGCCCCTACATTACCAACAACCCCAAGTCATTCACCCCGAACCTGAAACACCAACCCTCAACTCTAAACGCCGTAAGACCTGAGCCCCAAATCCTAAGCCCTAACCCTATACACACCGAAGGCCCTAAACCTCAAAACCCCTGAAGCCCAAAACCCCCAAACCCAATACGCCCTCCAAGGTTTTTCTAGAAAAAACTAGGTTTTACTAGGTTTTTCTAGAAAAACCTAGTAGAACCTCCAAGGTCAATTGCTGCAACTTCTTTTTCATTTGCAGCCCTTCGGATCGATGGCCGCGTAGACGCGTGGGGAAACCATCGCATCTCGGCCACGTTGAGGGTGTAGGATTCAGGGTTTTGGGGTGAGTCACGGTTTTGGAATGTTAGGGCTAAGGTTTTGGAGTTTAGAATTTTCGAGAGGGGCTAGTTAAGGGGTTTGGGGGTTTAGTTTAGGCCTCAGTGTGAACATAGAATGTGCTGCATGCTTATTGCTGAAGCTTCATATGCCATTTGTCGAACGCAAGGGGGCTTGAATATTCGGTGAGATCGTTTCTTTGGGGCTCCTCCATGTACTGATGACATAGCACCCCCCCCTTTGAAACCTGGTCTAGATATGCAGGTCCCTATATTACATGCCTTGGCCGGTCAGTTCAACTCCAATTCCCCTTGGCCCTCACCCCTAAACACGTTGTACCCTGGGGCACTTTCGCACAGCATCTTCTGCTTAGCGCCAAGGATATGGTGGTGCTGTGGACCCCGAGAAGTTCCAGGATGAGTGGAGTTTCCCTGGAAATATAAGTCTTAGAGACGTTCTGCCGATGCAGTGTTTGAGTGTAAGTACACAGACACACCCATGTTTCTTCATTTATTTGTTTATACATACATATATATCTATATATA